TGTGGGGGGGGGGGGGGCACCGGGAGTGTGTGTGTGTGTGGGGGGTCATCATGGGGTACGGAACGCCCTTGATGTCTATTGGTCCTACGGTACACTGCGAATATTTCGATGGAGTGCAGGAACTTTATCTACGAACCGTACACGGCGACCACCGCCCGCCGCGAGGGTCGTGAGCGGCGCCATTGATCTAATTTTTTCCGGCAGAGAAACTGCGCGAGCAAGGGTCTCATAACCCTAGCAATACTTGCATCAAGGCTTCTCTCTTACCTCCTCTTGAGCGGGAGAAGGCCAGGAGTTTCGGCCAAACGATTCTCTCGACCACAACAAAATACAACACACGAACGCGTTCGTTGCGGCGCACACGCAGGTGGCAGCTGTTGGAGGAAGCCGCACGATGAGACAAACTTTCCAAAGCCACAGGGCTTCATACCCCCTCCACCATCACAGCCCCCCCCCTGCTGCGAATACCTCGCGGCGCTTCGCGCTTGGTGATGTGAGAGCCTGGGCCGGTGAAAAACGGCGTATCGCTCCGTCCCGGCTTTTTAAGGATTCGAGGTCAATGGTCTAGCGACTACGGCATGCACGACTATGAGTACACCCCCCTCCTGTCCCCCCCCCCTTCGTACATCGACTCATCGACGTCCATGGGCTAACCACTGCACACACGGCTATTAGCACCCCCCCCGCCCCCCCCCCCCAAAACTTACCCCAACGGCAACCCCCTCCGGAGGGGATGCCACGGCGACACCCATCAAAGGCTTCACCCAATCTTCATCCTCGCACTCTCCCTCCTCCCCTCCGTCTTTGCTCAAGCGTGCCCCTTGCTGTTGCTGCTGCTGCTGCTGCTGCCGCTGCGAGGCACGTGAACCATCTCGGGAGCCTTCGCAGCCGGAGCAAATAAAAATAAAGAGAGACAGGGCAGGTATCGTGCGGGGGGTAGCAACGCGGAGGAGGGGAGGGGAGATATCGACACACTGGCTGCTGTTCACTTTTCTTTACTTTTCAGGTCGCCGAAAATGACTGGAGTCGGGTGTCCGGTATCGTGTGTGTGTTTTTTTTTATTATTTGCATCGACCGCGCTAACCGGCCGACCAATGAAAAGACGTGTGTGCGTGTGTGTTCGTCTCATCTATTCTGGTGCCGGTTCACAGCCCTTTCGGCGTAAATACGTTACCTGACGTATCAGCCGAGGTGATCACACAAGAGGAAGCTCACACATGCATGGTGCGGGTGAAATTGGCCGGCACAGACCGACTGGTGACGACGGGAATCCGCAGGTGTCAACGTCAACCAATCGCATAGCTTCGAACCCAGCGAAGGCAACGACGACACCACCCGCACCGACAACAACAACCCGGGCGACTTACCGCAGGTGCCATGACATGACGCAAGATACCACGCCCCCTGGACCGATTTTCACAGCTCCATTAGGCTACACTCCACGATTCAGGGGGTGAAAATCTCAATCGATGCGTTTCTGGAAATATATCGACGACGTGGTTCGAACAACGCCGTTTGCGGCACCCCCACTTCTGCTGTTTCTGCTGTGGAGAAATCGAGCTTTGGAAATCGGTTCAGGGGGTGTGGTATATTGTGTCTCCTATCGTACGCAGGCGCACCTCAACACCAAATACGGTAGCGCTGAGGGATGTGGGCAACCTTTATACTGGACCCCCACGTATAACTGTGTGCAGATTTGTGAGACCATTTGAGCATCCTATCTGTGTCCCTCGACTTGTTCGGGGCGACCGGCCTTCCCTACCCCGTCCACTTACTTGAAAGAGGAAGGAACCCCAGCACCTTCTCAGGCGCAGCACAACAGCCCCAAACAACCGTTACAGAGCGTAAACACGAACGACCTCCTTGAAACGCCACCATCGCCCCAGCACGCATAGCTGAACAAGGTGGTTAAAACAACAGCAACAACAACAACAGCAACAACAACAACAACAACAACAACAACAACAACAACAACAACAGCAGCAGCAGCAGCCTTCGCAGTTACACTGTAATAAGAAAAAATGTTGGATAAAGTATGCGATCGGGGAAGTTTGGTTTGGGTTGCGGTTTGGGAATAAGGTCTGCGTATCCCCTCTCTGTTCTTATCTATTTCCTCATAAAAATCAATTTCTCGCAACGAAGGCACGTGCAACAACAACCACCTACCACGGGTCGGCGACGACGCCGGAGAAGAAGAAAAATCGGGTGTGATAGCGCTCAGCAGGGCCGCGAGCGTAAACTCCGGCTGCTGCTGCTGCTTCTTCGCCGCCGCCGCCGGCTGCGGCTGCGGCCTCGACCGCTCCTCCCCCTTCCCCCCCTCCTCCTCGGCGGTGGCGTTCTTGACCGGGGGGGACGGTGCTTCCCCAGCCCCGTTCGGCGTGCCACCACCACCACCACCGGCGGCCGCACTCAGGGGCGACACGAAGTTGCCGCTCCCGTAGGCGTTGGGGCACGGGGTGAGGGGAAACAACAATGAACGGCGGCGGGGAGCGGCGGCAACACTACTACCCGGGGACGGGATAAATCTCGTGTCCCCGGGTCGAAGAAAAGAGCGCCGCCGGCCGTCAGACGACGTCGACATCGTGGCGGCCGTGCCTATCGACGACGGTTGCCGCTGCTGATGCCAATGCCAACGCCAACGCCGCAACCGCTGCTGCTGCTGCTGTTGCGGTCTCAGCGACAAGCCCCCACCGCCCCCAAGCCCGGTGGCGTCCGCGCTAGCTGCGTCTCCGGAGAACCGGGGACGCCAACGGCAGCGTCCCCTGCACGGTGCCGCTGACAAAGACCCGTGGGAGGGCGCGAACGCCAGCCCCGGTGGTGCGGTGCTTGCGCCTGCTCCTGCTCCTGCCGCTGCTGCTGCTGCTGGTGGTTCCCTGGCTGGTCGCCATCGTTGGCGTGGCAGGTGTCCCGCTGCTGCTGCGGCTGAGGTGGGTTGTTGGGCGGGCCCGCCGATCGAAGATGGTGATGCTGCCGCTGCTGCTGCGGCGGCGGCGGCTGCCCACAGGGTGGCAAAGGCGGACAACACCACAGCAGTGAGCATCGGAGTCGGCATGCTGTCTGCTCTTGACGCCGTCCTCCTCCTCCTCCTCCTCCTCCTCGTCGCTGTGATGGGCATCTTGATCTCCTGTACAACAGCCCCAGTAGTTATTGGTGGTGATGGTGGTGGTGCGGTAGCATAGCGGACCTGGTGGTGTCATGGTGGCAGAAGCCGTGTCAAAACGAAGGATGGATTCAGAAATAACACGGTGGCGCTGGCAAGCAACAACAGCAGTGGTGCAGCAGTGCCGGCGAAGCGAGTGGTTCGGGAGCTGGTGCAAGTCTGGCGCAACGAAAGGGAGAACGACAACAACGGGCCCTGGCTGTGTCCGTTCAACTCGATAATACTCTTAGCATTTCTGACTGCCCGAATCCCGCGATGGTGCCGAACTATACAACGTGCTGTAGAGAACTGCGGCGATTCGTTGACCCACCCTGACCGCTATGAACCTTTCACCTACAGTATCCTGAATGTCATGAGATGAGCCTTCACCCTGGGGACAAAGCGTTCATATATGCAGAGGTCACTGCTGCTGTTGCTCACAATATTTTGTGCAAAGTTAACAAGCACCGAATCGTCCACGACATCCATTTTGCGCGCTAAGGGCGTGAGATGCCGTCGGAGAGTGTACGCGCTACCCCCCAAGTGCTGAGAACGAGACTCCCCAAGTGCGAGAATAAGGAAAACTACGGTGTTGCAACTGCGCTTGGACTCATGTTTTCGACTTCGACCAGACTTCCAGAACAGTACATTTACTCCTGGCCGCCTTAACTGCCACAGCCTACAGCACTACCATCTCAAAGGCGGTAGGACAGCCTTCATGGATCACTGCTGGTGCTGGATGCTGACACGTTGGAGTCGTGGCTCTGCGGTACAGCAGTAGCACCGGTATCTACGATTACCACCCTGGTATGTACGGTGCCGCTGCTGCCGCCCATGGGTTAGCCTACGGCAAGCCAAAGATTCTCAACCCAGAGGCAGACACTCTTCCATGACCAACATCTTGCAATCACGCAAGGCAAGCGGTAGATAGATGCTACAGGAAGGCACAGGAACTCGCGACGGCAGCTGGTGGATCGAGAGAGAGAGAGAGAGGATGGGAGCACAGCGGCAGTGGGCTGGCAGCAGAGACGGGCAAACCAATCGAGAACCCAACAACCAAGGGCAGTTCAAGGCAGGGCAGACACAAAACAAACGCCCCGCGTCAAAAGGTTTCTGAAGCTGAAACTTCACACCCTATTCTCGGCGTTCATAGGTTAAGAAGCACGTGCGCTCACCCGCCGTGTCCGTGTTGGTGTTGGGGCAGCGCGGCTGTCTGTCGAAGGCTGTGCTGCTGCTGCGTCTCTTAAGTTTTGCTGAGAGGGGACCCACAGACAGAACTATATGGGTATGCCGACCGCAACACAGTCTTCTACATCTGGAGCCTCATTGACAGTCCAGTGGCTGCGATAGCAGCGACAAAGCAGCAGAGGGGGGTCACACACGAACGGCAGACACAGACAGAGAGAGGGGAGGAAGCCCCCTGGCCAATAGGGCGAGAGAAGGGGATCAACCTGCACCGCCGGTGGCACACAGAAACCATCCCAGCTTTGCCCACAACAGCAGTTGCGGTATTGCTGCCGTCGAGTTTTCCGGCATTTTAGTACGTCAACTTGCAGGGCCATGGACAGCGAACGCCACGCCACGGCCACCGAAGGCAGCACGCTGCCCTCCGTCGACCCTCCCCTTTCCGGGGCGAAGCGTCCCCGTGAGAACGGGCATGGGGGGGAAGCAGCAGAAGCGATTATTCCCGAATCTGCTTCTCAGCATCATCTGCCACAGCGGCGGCGACAGCAACAGCCAGCCATATCCTCCACGAGCAATAGTCGTGGCCACGACCAGACCGCCGGCGGCGGCCGCGCTAGCAGCAGTCTGAAATGTTCCCGTGGCTTTCCAGCGGCTGCGAAGAAGGCGCCCGGAACGCCAGGCGCAGCAGCAGCAGCAGCAGCAGCAGCAGCGCCCCCATCGCCAGCCGTCGAGTCCGCAACAGCAGCGGCGGCGGGTGCGGCGAAACCATTGCCGGTTGGCGAAACCACGATAGCGCACGTTGGAGACGTACCGAGCGGTGCGGAGGCAGGCAGCGGCGCCAGCGCTAGCCATGTGGTTGAGGCACCCGCGTTGCAGAAGTGTCAGGTGAAGTTGGTACTGATGCTGCATCATGTTCGCACCTTACACACACATCTCGAGAGCAGCTTACAGTCGCTAGGACGGGGATCAGTGAATCAGACATGTTGTAACGGTTTGGGTTTTGCTAAACCGATTCGCGCGGAGAACACATCTCGAGGACACAGACATGTTACGGTGGACAGGGATCGTTGTTCAGACATGGTGTAACAGTTGAGATTTTGCCGAAACGATTCGGGCGGAGAGCACATGTCGAGGACGGACATCTTAACCGTCGACAGGGATCGTGGTAAGCAAGTTGTAGCGTTTTGTTTGTTTTTTTGCTAATATGACCCAACGAATCCATCTCTGTCTAAGAAAAGAGTCTAAGATAGGTTAGCAATGAATTTATTGCGTCAGAGAAAGCTACCTGTATTTTCACGGTTTCCTGAGACCCTTCTTTATGGAAACATAATCTTGCAATTATATCTTGGCATTTTGACCCAAGATTTGCTCACAATATATCTCCGCGAAGATTTGCAGTATCGCGATTTATGGGGGAAATATCTTGAATGTTGAAAATGCGGCGTGTTGTTCCTCTCTTCTGCTTGAAGTTGAAAAAGGCACAACGGCCACTTGGTCCACAGAAAATGCCAAGGTGTGGCGAAAAGGGAGCATGACGCAGTTGTAGAAGGGGCATCCCTCCCCCAGCTGTATTGCCTCAACACTGTGGGTGGATACTAGCGATGGGCGCCTACCTGGGGTGCAAAATTGAATCCGTTGCCCACGAGCTCATGTCAAGCGGAGAAACAAAACTGTTCCATTGCTGTCCAACTGACAAGAAAGTGCATCAACCCGAGGCCGATGACACCCATGCACGTATCACATGATGTAGCAGGCGTACCGAGGTCAAACCTCCGGCGCTGTCATCTGCACCCACGGATTTGGCTCGCGTGCAAACGGATTGGGTGTGGGGTGATTCGATGAAGAGATAGAAGCGTCGCACACGACAGAGCAGTGTTGGCAATACGTTCCTCCTGCTCTATTTTTCTACTTCAAAATAAAGTACTCTTTGAACGGTCCCTCCACAGACTGGTGATGACGCACGTGGAACGAGTCAGGGCAAATACGCATTTTTTTCGCGCGCCTTGGTTGTTTTCGTTCGCTGTCGGCGCCCGTGGCGCCGACACAGTGACGCCAGGGTGCGTTAGAGAGCCTTGCGAGTGTGCCACATGCAGATTTCATGGCGTTATGGACGATTAGGTTGACTGACCTTCGGTGATCGCGCCGCACTGAAGCAAGATTTGTTACGCCGCCTCAAGATTTGTCGGAAGGCTCGACTTGACAAATCTTGGGTCAAGATTTGTTCGAAAGGGCAGATTTCGGGCCTCGAGAAATCTTGGCCAAGATATATCGGAAGATTTTGTTCCCATAAATCGTGAAACTGACAGATCTTGGCCAAGATCAAGATTTATGGACAAGATTTTGTTCCCATAAATCGGGGTCTGAGCAGCACACAGCGATATCTCCCCTGCGATTCGGGCGGGAATACGAGGACGGACATCTTGCCGTCGACAGGGATCGTTATTCAGACAAGTTGTATCGGATTAGATTTTGCTTGAAAGACACGGTCGGACGAAATAATAAATAAGTGTGTTCGAGTTCATTTTTCAGAAAATATGCATATACTCACAGAAAGACGATAATACCGGTTCGAGGTATAACCACAGCAGTTGAAAAGGGTGTGCTCAAGTCTTACCAGTGAGTGGCGGGATACCAGCGGATTTTTTTTTTTTTAGTCTGCTTGAGCCTATTCACTGAAGTATACCAGTGATACCAGCTAGTGCTAAGTACATTCATCTACAGAAAGGCGTAGAGATGTGGATTTTGTTTTATTTCGTAGCAGCTGGAAAACAGGAAGCATGGACTAATGTTCTCGCCATAGATGTGAGAGCAAAACGCGGCGATTGTCCCGACCTAAACCTCGCCACAGGTCACTCCGCATGTGTAGACGCTTAAGTGCTGTATTTATTTCACCAATGTGCTTTGCTATGCACATGCTGTAAGAGGTCCTACGTGTGTGCGGAAATAACGCGGTACACGTCGAGAACCGCCCGTTTTGGTGTTTGCACAAGTGCTTGGTTGAGGAGAAAATCGAGCTCTGAAAGTCGGTCCAGGGGGTTTGCCATCTCTCCGCTTCATCCGGCATACCACGGTTCGGTATACGGTACGGTACAGACAATCTTGGTTGTGGAGTAATCGAGCTTTGAAAGTCGGTCTAGGGGGGGTGCCATCTCTCCGCTTCATCCGGCATACCACGGTTCGGTATACGGTACGGTACAGACAATCTTGGTGTGGAGTAATCGAGCTTTGAAAGTCGGTCTAGGGGGGTGCCATGTCTCCGCCTCTTACGGCATACCACGGTACGGTGTACGGTACGGTACAGACAATCTTGGTTGTGGAGAAAATCGAGCTTTGAAAGTCGGTCTAGGGGGGGTGCCATGTCTCCGCCTCTTACGACATACCACGGTACGGTATACGGTACGGTACAGACAATCTTGGTTGTGGAGAAAATCGAGCTTTGAAAGTCGGTCTAGGGGGGGGTGCCATGTCTCCGCTTCTTACAGCCAATATCTCGAACGAGTACTCTGGGCTTTCTGTATTTGTACCTTATATATCTTCTAGAAATTGACGAGGATGGTATCGCTGAAAGGTTCGTGGAGCTTATCGTCGCCAAGCGTCTCGCCACGCCTCAAGAGGTAGACGACGACCGTGTGACAGCCTTCCCCGCGCGGGTGCTAGATGCCCGTCTACCTCCCTGGTTCAAATGCTAATGCTAACATTTTTTTCATTTTTTTTGCAGGTCTGCGGAGAGAAGGAGCGCCGTTACTGCTGCCCGCGGTGCGGAAAGCTGACGTGCAGCCTGCCCTGCTACAAGCGGCACAAGAAAGAGGTGCGGCGCAATAGAGAACTCTTCGTGCGATCCGAACCGACACTTTCAAGAAAAAAATCAACAGGGAAAAACAATGAATTCGTGTGCCTTTTTCCCCTGGACTCCTATCTGTGGGTGGATATTTCTTTTTTTGTGTTGAAGGGGAAAAACACTAGACGCGGCGTTTGGTGTTGTGAAGTCAACGAGCCTACACCGCCCCCCCCCCCCCCCCCACACACACTGGAAGGGGGCCCAAATAATGGCCTGGAAGGGGCGGGGGGATATTTCGGGGAGGGGGGGGCCCT